ATGTTTAATCATATTAGACTTGGGCTTCAGTGATTCTCTTGCCTCAGCCTCCCAAGTAGCTGGGACTACAGGCGCTCACCACAACCCCCGACTATTTTTTGTTGCAGTTGTCATTGTTGTGTATGCAGTTGGCACTGTAAGCACTGTGCTACAGGAGCCAAGCCTAAACATAAAACTTTTGGGGTTTTTTTTTGAGACAGTCTCGCTATGTCCACCCTTGGTAGAGTGCTGTGGCATCACAGCTCACAGCAACCTCCAACTCTTGGGCTTAAGCAATTCTCTTGCCTTAGCCTCCCAAGTAGCTGGGACTACAAGCACCTGCCACAGTGCCCAGCTTTTTTATTTTTTATTTTTTTTGGTTGCAGTTGTCATTGTTTAGCAGGCCCAGGCTGGGCTCGAACCTGCCTGCTTTGGTGTATGTGGCTGGTTCCATTACTCACTGAGCTATTGACGCTGAGCCGACATAAAACTTTTTAAGTGACTTTCAATAACTTAAATTCTTTTCATGTTACTACATGCTTCATGTATTTTCAATATACATTTAACTCCTAAGTTTGATAACTGCCGATCTGCCACACAATGCAAATAAATACGGCTGGCATTTGCAAGCTTTCAGTACTTTCAAACCCATTAGTATCAACCCGTGTTAAGTGGCTCCCATTGGGTAAAAAGTGGACAATAGAGGCAACATGGCTGAAGAAAAAGATTCAGTAAAACAAGGGTTACATTAACAAAATGATGATTGAATGGGTGTATGTAAGGCAATTTCAAACAGCTTGCCAAAGGAGAGCCTCATTTTTCCATTTTCTTGCACAGTATCTAGTTTCTGGCTCCTCATTTCCTCAGTGATCTGATAATTATGAAATTCTACGTAAAGTGTCATCTTTCTTGTAACAAATCAATGAACAGAAAGCTCCCATCACCAGCACAGATATTTTCTAAGGCTCCTGATGATTATTTCCTGATGTCTAACCCACAAACCACACAGAAAGTTCTTGAGAACAAACAGCTTCTGTGTGCATATGTGCGTGTGTGCATTTATTTCAAAATAGGATTAAGAAGTAATGTGCAACTGGCAGTAATGAGCTATGTGAATTACCACAAATTTGCCTTTTACTACCAATTTAAGATTGAAATTTAGCCCTTTCCCACTGCTATGGTACAGATAGGGGAAAGAAAAATTCCTCTTCATTGTATATGTGTCCCTACAAATGTATCAAAATTGTTTTTTGCATCCCATATCACAGATTTATACCAATAGGACCACCACATATATCTTTATGCTTAGGGCATCCCTTTCCCTATAAGAAGTACAATTAAAAATAATTCTACCTTTATTCCTTATGGTAATCATATAATACAGAGGCAAACATGTGAAAATAAAAAATTCTATAGATTATCAACTAAGACTCCAGGTACACAACTAAGCCTAAATGTATCTGCTAATAAAGTAATATTATGGAGAAGTTTATTTTAAATACCCTTCCAGCCTACAAAAAATTATAGATATTCCCACTTTTGAAAAGAGCATATTCTCCATTCCCATATTCTCTATTGTTTCAACTATTCAGGGCAACCCAGGCTGATAATTACACAGTCCCCAGTTGCTGAGTAAAAGTGATGCTTAATTAGCCAGCAGGAAAGATCGATTAAGATCCAGCAGGGTATCTCCTGAGGTTCTCCCACATTCCTGAAGGGAAAAGATTCTGGCTGTGCCCTTTCAAAGGATAAAATTCTCTTTTCTAGGGAGTTTCAATGAGGTTTTTAGAGTAGATGCTAAGAACAGGTAGGCCATGCAAATTAAATCCCAACCATAACCCTGAAGATGCACTGCCTTTCTAAGAGTGCTCAGTTCAAACATTCTGAATCACATTGCTACCAGGTTAGAAAAAGCTAAAATAATACTCGCTTATCTCCAACTCTCATTCAGTTACCCATTTCAAGCAATAGGTGTTCAGAATACATATTGTAAAGGAAAATTTTGATTTCTTTCTCCCCCAAGGAAGTGTATGCATCTGTCAGATGCTCATATTCTAAAATGCACAAATTAAGTCACAAATTAAAAAAAAAGCACAAAAACACAATGAACATGATATTCTAACCAGTCTGGGATAAAACATTCCAACACAGTCAAAGAATCACCTGGGTAAGTCTGACTTAAGTGTTTTTTTTTTTTTTAATTGGGGAAGAGGATGTGGAAGTAAAATCAGTACCAAAAATCTCATACTGCCTAACACCTTTCTGTTGGTAATTTGGACAAGCATAATGTTTAGCTTTCACCATTTTTTTTTTAGTTAAATGCAAAAGTGATTAATAAATGCCAACATAAAAATCTAAAACTAAAAGCATAATAATTATTTTAAGATGCATCCATAATCATCAAAACATTCTTATTTTGATAAACTACATTACGCTGGCCTGCCTCCAATTCATTTCCGTAAATATTTATTAAGCTTCTATTAAGTATAAAGAACTATGCTAGGTGTGTCTTACCTGGTTAATTTATACATTATTAAAGTAGATTTTACTGATTATAAATTGCCTTAAATCTTATGAAGAAGAATATTAGAACTAGTTTATACAAACCTGGTTCTGATTTGCTGAAAGCCCCGCAGAATATGGTCTCTGTGGTCCCTTGCAATAGTACTGAGGTTCTCATTCCTCAAACCTTCTGCCAGGAACTCTTCAGTATCTGAAAGAAAAGGAGAATTGATCAACAGAAAAGAAGACTATGGGAGAAAAAGGAAAAAATCTAAAAGATTAAGAGATGGGTATTTTTTCCTCTTTAAAAATTTGATAGTTGCAGAACAGTGTGAATGTGCTTAATGCCACAAAACTGTACACTTAATAATAGTTAAATGGTAATTTTTATATTATGTATATTTTATATGATATGTATTATGTATATTTTGAATTTTATGTTATGTAAATTTTATATTATGTATAAATAGCTAAAATTTTATATATGCTTGTAAGTGACATATTCTAATAATTTAAGACCTTTCTATGATTTTAGAAAGCTATCGCATATAGTACTAACCACAAAAATGACTATTTTCTAAGCAATTTTTTGAGTATTTTTTTATTTTTTCAAGTTAATATGAGGGTATAATTTTTAGGTGATCTTGTTCTCACTTCCAGGGTGAAGTTCTAAGCCACTTTAAAGAAACATTTACATATTAATTATCTCTGATACCAGAGGATGGATGGTCAATTTCATAAACATATAACTATTACAAATAAGTCACAGAAGGTCACAGGCCAATAGAAGATAGGAAGAAATAGCAGTAAATACAGCTGAAATAAAAAACAGAACTGAACTGCAAAAATAAAGAACCAAAGGGCAGGCATTCAAAGAAGAAGCATTAATTAGGAGATGCATCATCAGTGAAAATGACAATGCAACCAAATGAAGGAACCCACATGGAAAAGAAAAATGTGCCCAAAAGAAGGAAACTGCAATTAATACAAATACACACTATAAAATAGGGACATGATCAAAATACATAATATGAAACAAATCATGTTATGTTGAAGGAAGAAGTTGGGAAGGTCTATAATTTTTCAAAGACAAAATACATTGATAATAATTACAACTGCCATACATACTAGCTATACACTTTATTCTACACAAAAGGTTTATCATCCCCAAAGAGCATATAAGTAATATAGTTAATATATTCCACCTCCAAAAAATTGTGCCTGAAATACAACATTGTATCATATATACTATCAAAATAATGCTATGAACTTACAGAGATGGGTTACATAAGCACACCTAAAAATTTGTTTTACATTCATACCGCCCAACAACACCAAGCAAAAAATCCTGGATAGCCACCACTAGGATTTTTGATGATACCAAGGCCTGGAAATTGAAAATTTCACAAAGAACCATCATCAACATCCAACCCCTGCATTGCATCTATTGTATATGTCATTTAATGAGTTCTTCCACAGTCCTTTGAACTCTAAAGAACGAAGAAACTGGCTCAGCACCTGTGGCTCAAGTGGCTAAGGCGCCAGCCACATACACCTAAGGTGGTGGGTTCGAATCCAGCCTGGGCCCGCCAAAACAACAATGACAGCTGTAACCAAAAAATAGCCAGGCATTGTGGTGGGCGCCTGTGGTCCCAGCTACTTGGGAGGCTGAGGCAGGAGATTCGCTTGAGCCTGGGAGTTGGAGGTTGCTGTGAGCTGTGATGCCACAGCAGTCTACCCAGGAGGATAGCTTGAGGCTCTGTCTCAAAAAAAAAAAAGAATGAAGAAACTGGTAAATTAAATTAAAAGGCAAAAATTAATGTCATCTGAGATTAAATTCATGCAATACATACATCATCATAATAGGATAAAGACTACATGATCATCTCAACAAACACAGAAAAAGCATTTGACAAAATTTATTAGCCCTTCATGACAAAAATACTCAACAAAGTAGAAACAAAAGGAAGCTTCCTCAAAGAGCATCTACAAAAATACCACAGTACTTAATGGTTAAAGACTGAACACTGTCCTCCTGTTCCTAAGATTAGGACCAAGACAAGGATGTCTGTTTTCACCGCTAACACTAAACATTGTACTGATGACGCTAGCCAGGGTGATTAAGCAAGAAAATGAAATAACTATGGATACCATCCAAATTGGAAAAGAAGAAGTAAAGCTGTCTCTATTTGCAGATGACATGATCGTATATACAGAAAACCCCAAACAATTCATTAAAAAAAACTATTAAAACTAATAAATGAGCTCAGCAAGTTTTCAGCATACAAGATCAATGTACACACACAAAAAAACACCAACAACTGTGTTTCTATATAGTAGTAAGAAAAAACTGAAAATGAGATTAAGAAAATTCCATTTAAGATAGCATTTTAAAGAATTAAATACTTAGGAATAAATTCTAACTCTTAACTCAAAATTTAAATTCTGAAAACTACAAAATATTGTTGAAAGAAATTAAAGAATATCTAAGTATATATTTCATGTTTGTGATGAGGAGACTTAATATAGTTAAGATGGCAACTCCCCAAATTGATCTAAAGATTCAATATTGTCCGGATCTCTGATGATCTTAGCTGGCTTTTAAGGAACCCAGAAAAGCCAAAAAATTTTGAAAGAGAAAAACAAATTTGAAGAACTCACACTTTCTGGTTTCAAAATTTACTATAAAAGCTATAGCAATCAAGACAATATAGTACTAGCATGCAAAAGAATGAAGTTGGATGCCTATCTCACACTATATACAAAAAATAAACCCAAAATGGAGATCAAAGATCGAAATGTGAGATCTAAAACTATAAAACTCTTAGACAAAAACAGGTATAAATCTTTGTGACCTTAGTCAATGGTTTCTCAGATATGACACCAAGAGAAAAAAAAAATAGACAAATTGAGCATACCCCAAATTTAAAAACTATTGTGTTTCAAAGGATACCATCAGGAAAGTAAAAAGACAACCCACAAAATGAAAGTTTTTACAAGTCATATAGCTGATAAGAGATGTGTATGTAAAATACATACAAACTTTTATAGCTTAATAAGACAAATAATCTTATTTATTTATTTATTTACTTCTTTTTTTTTTTTTTTTTTTTGAGACAGAGCCTCAAGTTGTCACCCTGAGTAGAGTGCCGTGGCTTCACTGCTCACAGCAACCTCCAACTCTTGGGCTCAAGCGAGTCTCCTGCCTCAGCCTCTCAAGTAGCTGGGACTACAGGCGCCCGCCACAACGCCTGGCTATTTTTTGGTTGCAGCCATTGCTGTTGTTTGGCGGGCCGGGGCTGGATATGAACCTGCCACCTTAGGCGTATGTGGCTGGTGCCTTAGCCGCTTGAGCCACAGGCGCCTAGCCTATTTATTTACTTCTTGAGACAAAGTCTCACTATGTCACCCTCAGTAGCATGCTGTGGCATCACAGCTCACAGAAACCACCAACTCTTGGGCTTAAGTGATTCTCTTGCCTCAGCCTCTCAAGTAGCTGGGACAACAGGCACCCACCACAATGCCCAGCTATTTTTTTGTTTCAGTTGTTTAGCTGTCCCAGGCCAGGTTCAAACCCACCACCCTTGGTGTATGTGGCTGGTGCTGTAACCACTGTGCTACAGGTGCCGAGGAAAAAATAACCCTATTTAAAAATGAACAAAGGAACTGAATAGACATTTCTCCAAAGAAGATACACAAATGGCCAGTAAGCCCAGAAAAAGATGCTTAACATCATTTGTCATCTGTGAAATTTTCAGACACCAGGGAAAACCATAAAGATGTATACACCATGATGCTATAGTCAAAAAGAAAACGAATAATGAGTGTTGCTGAGGACACAGATGAATTAGAAACCTCATTTATTGCTGGTAGGGATGTAAAATGGTGCAACCACTTTGAAAGATAGTCTGGCATTTCCTCAAAAAGCTGAATAGAAGGTTACCACATGATCCAGCAATTCTATTACCAGTTATGTACCCAAGAGAAATGCTAGGTGCTATTCTATCCTTGACAGTGATAACTAAAGAAAATGGGTTGGACTATGATTTTTTCAAAACACAAATGTAATAAAAGTAGAATTAAAGATATTGAAAATATTTAATATATTTGTGTGTGACACACCTTTTGAGGGCAAGACACAATTATAAAAGGGATTTTACCTAACAAATGCAGTCATTATAACCTGGTTTCTTGTACCCTCAATGAATCCCCAACAATAAAAAAAAAAAGAAAGAAAATATTTAATATAAGAAAATATAGAAAAATAGTATAAAAATTGAACTCATAAAATAATATTATACATCTTTGATGACAATAATTGTGAAAAGTTAGACTCCCATATTAAAAGCAAAGACTTTCACATCATATCAAAAAATAAATTTAATTACTATTTAAAACATACTCACATGAAATAAAAATAAAATTAAAGAGAGTGCATAAAGTATTCTAAGCAATCTTTTAAAAGCAAGAATGGCAGTAATTCATATCAAAGTAGAATTTAAGGAACAATTTAAAACAGGCCAAAAATGATAATTTTATTTGATACAAAGTACAATCCACAATAGAATGGTTTCTTATGTGCTAAATAACATAGTACTAAAACATATACCTTGAGACCTGGCACAATGGCTCATGCCTATAATCCTAGAGCCTTGGGAGGCTAAGGGGAGAGGATCATTTGTGACCAGGAGTTTGAGACCAGCCTGAGCAAGAATGAGAACCCCATCTCTATAAAAAATAGAAAAAATTAGCCAAGCCTGGTGGCATGTGTCTACAGTGCACTACTCAGGAGGCTGAGGCAGGAGGACCAGGTATTTAAGGTTGCAGTGAGCTAGACTGATGCCACTGTACACTAGCCTGGGCAACAGAGTAAGACTCTGTCTCAAAAAAAAAAAAAAAGACAAGAAATACACACCCATATATACAGTGAAATTGTGAGAAATATAAACAGAAATCATTGAAAAGACAATTTTAATGCCATTACTAGTTGTGGACAAAATAAAAAATGATACAGAGTGTTGTCTAATAGAAACAGAATTTGAGCTACACATGTCATTTTAAATTTTCTCATAGGCTCATTTTTAAAACTATGAATAAAAGGGCTGAATTAATTTTAATGATGTTTAATTTTCTATTTAACCCAACATACCACAAATATTATCATATTGGTTTCAGTATGAGATCAATATAAAAAAAATTATTGGTTACGAGGTTTTTGTTTCTAATCCTTATCTTAAACATTGTCATTGTTGTTAAATTTTAAGCCTTTTGATTATGTGAAGGCAAAAAGTGGAAACCTAGTTAACACATGTATATATAAAAATAAATAAATAAATTGATTAATTTAAAAAATTATTGGGACATTTTGCTTTTTTTGTCTTATATATTCAAAACTCTGTATGCATTTTACACTTATAATACATTTCCATTCAGACTAATCACATTTTAAATGCTCAATAGCCACATGGAGAGAGCGGGTAATACATTGGACAGTGTAAATACAGAGGATTCAAATATAATTAATAAGAAAGATAAAAAGAGTGAACTAAATTTTGTAACCTAAAAACAGAATACATATTTTATAAACTGCCATGGAAAATCTATAAAAATTGATCAAACACTGGATTACAAACAAACAGCGATATTTGAATTAAGGATTTAATTCTTAAAAAACCTAAAATTAGGAAGAACCTATTTGATGGCCACAATGAAATAAAACCAGAATTTAATTTTAAAAAGAGTAAACAAAATCCTCCACAGTTAGACACTAAAAACACACACTCCTATATATATCATGGATCAAAGTGAAACTCAAAAATATAATTACCACCTAAAGAGAAAATAATCTATATAAAATATTATAAGAGGCCGGATATAGTGGCTCACACCTATAATCCTAGCACTCTGCAAGATTGAGGCAGGAGGATCCCTTGAGCTCAGGAGTTTAAGACCAACCTGAGCAAGAATGAGACTCCATCTCTTCTAAAAAAGAAAATATATATATATGTATATATTTATATATGTCTATAAATATATACATATATATATATTTATATATATAAAGAATAAGAAATAATAATAGAAAAATTAGCCAGATATTTTGGTGGGCATCTGTAGTCCCAGATACTTGAGAGGCTGAGGTAGGAGGATCACTTGAACCCAGGAGTTTGAGGTTGCTATGAGATGCCATGGCACTCAACCCTGGGGTAACAGAGTGAGACTCTGTATTAAAAAGAAAAAGAAAAAAATATTATAAATTATGACTAGAATTGTACAGTGACAAACTTACAGACTTGACTGTTTTCAATGTTAAATAAGAAAGAATAAAAATAAACAGAATAAGCAGAAAACTCAAGAAGTCAGAAAACAGCAACAAAACAAGTCTATGGAACACAGGAAGAAGGAAACAATAAAAATAAAAGCAGAAGTTAATGAATCCGAACAGAACAGTGGTTTTCTAACAGTGCTCTTTGGAGTCATAAGCCTCTGCTAAGGAAGAGGAGTGGGAAATTCCCTTCCTTCCCCTCACTCTTCTTTGCTTTAGTCACTAGTACTTGCCTTTTATCTGTTTTTATACACCGAGATTTCATATAAGATTTTATTTCATGAAAGGGTTCCATTGTACAACTTAGTGGTTAAAAACCACTAACCTTAAAAATATGGGGTCGGGGGGGGGGGGAGGGATAAAAGCTAAGTAAGTATGAGAGCTGGGATTTTCCAGAAGTGAAGAAGAAATTGAATAAATTGATAAACTATTAGCAAATGCAACCAAGAAAAAAAGGAGAGGAAACAAAATATACAAAGATTAGATTAAAAAGGAGCCACAAAGAACTTTTATAAGTTAAAAGTATATAAAAGTATAATAAAGTATTTTATAAAAGTAATAAGATTTCAAGTTCTTTATTTATTTATTTTTTTTTATTTTTTGCAGTTTTTGGCCTGGGATGGGTTTGAACCCGCCACCTCTGGCATATGGGGCTAGCTCCCTACTCCTTTGAGCATAGGTGCCAAATTTTTGTGTTTTGTGCTTTTATATACAATTTAAGTTTTGTTATAGTGGGGATCCTTTAAAAAGCTATTTTCAAGGGCAGTGCCTGTGGCTCAAAGGAGTAGGGTGCCAGCCCCATATGCTGGAGGTGGTGGGTTCAAACCCAGCTCTGGCCAAAAACTGCAAAAAAAAAAAAGTTATTTTCAAAGTAAAGTGCCATGTAAACTAAACTGAAATTTTTAATGAAATAGTTGCTGAGAAAAATACAAATATCTAAAACTGAACTGAGAAATGAAAAACCTCAATACTGAATAAGCTAGTAAACTGGGGAAAAGGTTGCCATTCAAGTTTAAATAGTTTTACACATGTTTTTCAAACTTTTTTTATTTTTTTATTTTTATTTTTATTTTTTGCAGTATTTAGCCGAGGCTGGGTTTGAACCTGCCACCTCTGGCATATGGGACTGGCGCTCTACCCTTTGAGCCATAGGTGCCGCCCTTTCAAACTTTTAAGTAAGAAAAATATTCTCATTCTACATAAACTATCCCAGAGCATAGAAAAAGAGGGAAGGCTCAAATATTTAGTAAAAGCTAGCATAATTCCAATTCTAAAAGACAATACAGGGCAGGTCCTGGTGGCTCATGCCTGTAATCCTAGCACTTGGAAGGATGAGGCAGGTGGATTGTCTGAGCTCACGGGTTCAAGACCAGCCTGAGCCAGAGTGAGACCTTGTCTCAAAAAAAATACCCAGGCATTGTGGCAGGTGCCTGTAGTCCCAGCTACTTGGGAGGCTGAGGCATGAGAACTACTTGAGCCTAAGAGTTGAAGGTTGCTGTGAGCTATGATGCCACAGTACTTTACTGAGAGCAACATAGTAAGACTCTGTCTCCAAAAAAAAAAACCACAAAAAGTAATCAGTTTAGTGTCAATATAGAGGCAAAATTCCCAAGTAAAACACTAGGAAATAAAACCTAGTAGTATATTGAAAGAATAATAAGTTTATCCTGGAAATATAAATATATTTCAATATTATTAATTCATTATACATTTCTTTAATCAGTTGACAGAAAGTCTGTAGAAATGTCCTGGTAAATGGTAAAACCCTCATCAAATGGTATTTATTATGTATTTATGGCAAAACTGTACTAAAGTAAAAGAATATCTTCTTAACCTAAGGAATATTTATGTCACAAACCAGCATCATATTCATTGCTGACAAACTAACATCATTATCATTAAAATACAAAATAAGATTGGTTTGCCAGCTACCTCCACTATTGATTAGAATTTTCTGGAGATTTAGACAAAAAGAAGCTTCAAAGAAGAGGAGAAAATGTCATTATGTGCAGAAATGACAACCACACAAAACCATCAATTTGAAAACCCTTTAAAAATTGTAAGAATTCAGTAGAGTATACAGAAGATAAAAATTTTAAAAATCAATAGTTTTCCAGGTAATAAAATTGGTGCATTGGACTAACTTTCTCACAGATAAAAATTGTCAACATTGAACAAAATATAAAAAATAACTATTTTAAGGCACTAAACAGCTATCAAATGCAGGCAGAAGGGATTTGATCCTGAAAAGAAAGATACTGCAGGGGAGCTTTGTGTTTATATAGCTTCTCACCTAAGCATACGCCCATTGCATGTGGTATGAAATGGCTGGGGAGTACCCTGGGGCAAAAGTTTAGTGGTCAGTAGACAACATCAAAAGTTACAACTTACATATAATTGGTGTCCCAAAAGAAGACCAAAAACAGAATAGGATAGAAAAAGTACCAGAAAAAAGAATTTCTTATTTAGTGAAAAATATCAATTTATAGATTGAAGAAGTTAAGTGAAACTCAAGTAGAATAAATACCAAGATAACTAAACATAGGCACTTAGGCACTCTACAGTCAAAATGCTGAAAACCAAAGAGAAAGAGAAAAAGTTCAAAGCAGTCAGAGAAAATGATCTATTACTCATAAGAGAACAATGATAAGAATGAAAGCTGAGTTTCATCAAATATAAGGGAGGCCAAAAGACACTAGAATGACATATATAAAGTATTGAAAGGAAAAAGGAAAAACAAAACCATGTTAACTCAAAATTCTATATCCAATGACAATGGCTATCAAAATATGAGGGCAAAAAGGAAGACATTTTTCAAATAAACAAAAACAGAATAGGCCAACCACAGTGGCTCAGGCCTGTAATCCCAGCACTCTGGAAGGCCGAGATGGGTGGATTGCCGGAGCTCATGAGTTCAAGATTAGCCTGAGCAAGAGCAAGACCCCATCTCTAAAAAAAATAGCCAGGCGTTGTGGTGGGTGCCTGAAGTCCCAGCGACTCAGGAGGCTGAGGCAAGGGGATCACTTGAGCCCAAGAGTTTGAGGTTGCTATGAGCTATGACACCATGGCACACTATCCTGGGTGACAAAGTGAGACTCTGTCCTCCCACCCCCCAAAAAACAACTGAATAAATCTTTTGCTAGAAAATTTGCACTAAAGAAATATAAAGGAAGTTCACCATACTGAAGTGAACTGACAATAGAGGGAATCATCTATAGGAGCCCCAAAATGCTAAATATATGAGTAAATTTAAAGCATCATTTTTCTCTTCTTAATTTCTCCAAGAAATAGCAGGCAAATTTAAAGTATAAGTTATAACTCTTGCAATGCACAGTTTATAACCTGTGTACACACAAAACATATGACAACAATAATACAGAGGATGAGAAAGGGAGAGTAAACGAAACTCCTTTTGTGGTATGATATCAACTTGAAGTGAATTGTGATAAGAAACATGATCTAATCGCACATTAGATCATTAGGGGATACACATAAGAGATGAGCTCAAAATATGTACTTACTTGAAGCAAACTCCAATAGAACTAAAATAAGCAAAAGACATGCCCACAATCATTAGAAACCAATAGAGCAAGTAGATAAATAATTGGTAAGGATATAAAAGAGCCAGTCAACTGCTTTGACCTAATTGACGTTCATATAACACTATACCCCATGACTACAGAATTTCAAGTGGACACGGAATGTTCACAAAAATATGCCACACTCTAGGCCACAAAATAAGTCCTTTTTTTTTAATTTTTTTTTTTTATTGTTTGGGATTCATTGAGTGTACAAAGAATTAGGTTACACTGATTACATTTGTTAGATAAAGTCCTTCTTGTAATTGTGTCCCACCCTCAAGAGATGTGCCATAACATCATGAAAAATAAGTCTTAATAAATGTCAAAAATATAAAACCTTGCAAAGTATGAATGTTTTCCCATCACAAAGGAAATAATAACAGTAAGATATCTAAAAAGTTTCAATAATTTCAAGTAACATAGATCAAAGAAGAAATAAATATTCTTTTCTGAATACAGTGAATATTTCAAATTGGAAGATTATAAAATACAACATCAAAATTCGTAGGATGCAGTTAAATCCACACTTGTGGGAAATGTATAGCTTCAAATGCTTGTATTAGAGAGGAAAAATGGTTTAAAAATCAATGATCTAAGTTTTCACTTTAAGAAACTAGAAAAAGAAGAGGAGGTCAAGCTCTAAGTAAGAAAAAGAATATAATAAAAATTACAGAAGAAATCAATTAAATAGAAATCAGAAAATATTGGTTGGTTCTTTAAAATGATAAATAAATTTGCTGGGCACAGTGGCTCATGCCTGTAATCCCAGCACTGTGGGAGGCTGAGGCAGGAGGATTGCTTGAGCTCAGGAGTTCGAGGCTTGTCTGAGCAAGAGTGAGACCCCGGCTCATGAAAAAAATAGAAAAACCCAGCTGGGCGCCTGTGGCAAGCGCCTGTAACCCCAGCAGCTTCGGAGGCTGAGATAGCAGGATGCCCACAGCCCAAGTCTGAGGTTGCAGTGAGCTACAATACCACTGCACTCTGCTCAGGGCCCAGGGTAGAACTCTGTCTCAGCAAAAAAAAAAAAAAGAAAGAAAGAAAAGATAAATAAATGTGATAACCCCCTAACAAGATTCATCAAAGGGAAAAAAATACAAATTACCTATATTAGGAATGTAGAAGGGATATTATGAAAAATCCCGTAAAAGTCAAAAGAATAATAAGGGAATATTATTCATATTTTTGCCAATAAATTTGACAACTTAGATAAAATAGAAAAAATTTAAAAAGCAAAACTTACCAAACTA